CAGACACACACACAATCACACACACACACACACACACACACACACACTACACACACACACACACACACGCACGCACACACGCACACACACACACACACCAACGCGGTATGGGTGGACGCTGGACACGCATGCGCCTCTCGCATGACTCTTACGCGAGCGCCTGGCTCTTTCTCGACGCCCGGGCCGAATATGTGTCCGGTAGCCGCGCGCCGCAGGTCTGCGCTGGGGCGGGCTGCGTGGGGCGGTTATCTGTTTCTTCTGTGGCGACTGGCGCGTCCGCTGCGGGCGCCCGGTAACTAAGGAGTACATGGCCTGAGAGTACTTGGGGGCGGAGCAGATGACACGCACAGCGGCTCGCGCGCCTCCGGCTGCCTCCCTTTGCTGCGGGATAGCCGCGCGGGTCGCACTGACCACACGAAGTAAGGCGCCGCATTTCGCTCCACGGACGCCAGGTAACGTAATCCCTGGTCTGGACGGTTCTTTTCGCGGTATCCGCGGCGGGATATGGCGGGATATGGCGGGATATGGCGGGATATGGCGGGATATGGCGGGATACGGTCAGATATGGAGAGATACATCAAGATACCGCAAAAGAACCGTCCAGACCAGGGCTAACGTATACGCGTCGGCTGCCGCAGTACACGTGTGGCGCGCACACGCGGAGCACGTTCGCGCGCATTCCGAGAGCGAGATACGTGGCGATATGCACACACATGATCTACTATTTTCAGCCCCCTAAGCACCGAGTACGACAAACGACAGACTGCAGATTGAGCGCAACAGAGAGTGCCGTTTCTGTGGACGTGGACTGTGCACTCTGGTTTGCTCTCTTCTCTGTCCTCTCAATGTCCGACAGCTTGCACGGCTAGCAGCTGCGGGGACGCTGCTCCAAGCTCCGCATACGGACACGCCTGCTCAGTTCCACACGCGCGGGTCCATGCAGTTGACCTGCATCGTCGCGCGCTTCCGAAAGAAGGCCGTTGGGGAGCGGGACGGAGCCGGTGCACTCGTCTTCTTGGCTGCCTTGTCTTTCGCGGAGTCCGCCCGCCTCTGAGCAGCATTCAGAGCCATCCGGCGCGGCGACAGGAATGCCGGCTTCTTCTCCGCTGTGTCGCGCCGAGCCTTGTCTGCCAAGTCGCGCCGAGCCTTCTTTGCCGCGTCGTGCACGGTGGCAAGAGCAATGGGCAGGCGACCGGCTAGCTGCAGATCGCGTAGGTCAGCCATTAGCTGCGTGGCTTCGCCCTCCGTGCACACGCTCCTCAGGGGCGCCTCGGCGACGCTGCCGCCTGGCAGCCAGCGCCCGGGGAGGGGCGACATTTACAGTTGCGGTTGGCGCGTGACACTTGCGGCTGTAACTTCCACAGGCGGTCCCCGTGCAAGTGAAAATGTAAGAAAAAAAACGCGGGATCTGAGACCGATACGTCGCAGGTCTAATCAGCAAGAGACCTCGCGACACTTCTCCGCCCTCCAGCGAGCGGTCGTCCCTTCCACCGATCACGATCACTATGTCGACGCGCAAGAGCCCGTCGGCGCCGCCCGTCTGTCTCGGCAGGCTCCTCGGCGCGGGCTGCGACGGTATTCTCGAAAAGGGCGAAACGTTGTTCCAGAAGTACCTCTGCACATCGTGCAAGGGACCGGCAGGATTCTTCGTTGAGCTGCAGTATGTGCGCTGCGTACCGTCTGCCGATGCCAAATCGTGCTTGCCTGACAAGGGTGGTACTCTCGGAGGCTTTCGCAGCAGCAAGCCTTCGATTGGACACTTCCAGTTCTGTCTTTGCAACGAACGCTACGAGGGCAGTCGGAGAAGGGGCAACTCCGTGCACTGACGGTCGGCCGTCAGAAAACACGCCTCCGTGGCTCGGGTTACACCAATCCTCGCTACCCAACGCGGCCAAAGGATCTCCACCCCGAGAAGTGTAAAAATTCTTTCCTCGCGGGAGTCGCTTAGGCGGCTCCAGTGGTGTACCTGTGTTAGTGCCAGTGCGCGCCAGTCCCGTGGGTGCCCAGTGTTGTACGCGAAAACATCTTCTTTTCTCCTGTGTCGAACCTGTGTGCTGTGAGAGAGAGTTATCGATCAACACTTTCGATAGACCGAAAGTAAGATCGTTCGGTGCAGAAACCCCGGCCATGCCCATGTAACGCAATTGTGCTCGATTTTTTTGATTTTTTGGTCGAGAAGTGTTTCCAAGTCTTCTGGACCCATCGATGGCCGTCGCCTCGACGCCGCTCGTCGCGGCACCATCGTGCCCGGCCTGGGCGAAGCATCGTCGCGGGCGCCAGCCGCAGTTCGACGGCAAGCCGTGCGAGCCTGCTAAGGAGGAGGACATGTGGCTGTGCCTGGCCGACGGCCGCGCGCGCAGCACCGCCGACCTGAAGCGCCTGGCGACAGCCGCTCGGGTGCGAGCGAAACGAGCAAGAGATGCAGCCGCCGCGAACACGCGCGATCGGCAGGCGCGCGACCAGCGCCGCCGGCAGCGTGAGCAGCACGACCGGCGCGCAGCGCCGGCGGTCGCCAAGACCGTGCGCCCACAACGCGGCCAGTGCGGCTGCCCGTGGTGGGCTTCGACCCGAAGAAAGAGAGCGCCCACTTGCGCAAGCTCAAGCACAACCCCGTGCTCGCCATCTGGGAGGCGGGCTACGCCGACGGGGAGGGCGTCTGGGATGCCGCGCGCGCGGCGTACTTTGCGGGCGAGCTTGCCAAGCGAAGCGCAAAGGACGGACGCAAACGGCGCCGTGGCGCCGGCGCCGCGAGCGCAAGAAAGAAGCAGGCCGCACCCACAGCCCGGTCGCCCGCCGACGCGAGTGACGGAGAGGGTGACGAGCAGATGCGCGACGCATCAGACGCGCAGGATGACGGTGCAAGCATGTCCGAGGGTAAGTAAAAGTGTGAGGTTTGGTGGAGGCTGTAGCGTCGTCGCGCGTAAGAAGCGTGGTGAAATTTAGAAAAGGAGTTGCGGTGTTGATCGCCGCGGGAGCCCCGCTCTGAATTCTTCTTTCGTCGTGGCCACCTGGCCGTCCTGCAGCGGATATGCCAGCGCTCGACGAGGCCAGCCAGCGAAGCACTGGCGGCTCGACGAGACACATGGCGACGCGTTGCAGCGGCACGTTCATTGACGCTGGTGCCAACAACGGCGACTCTTTGCATATGTGGTACACAGCCGAGTCGTGCGCTACCGCGCCGCATGCGCTGCGCCGCAAACCGTGCGCCTGGCAGTGGCCATGGTGGCTGCCTCTGACTGTGCGGCTGTCGTACTGTGCTCTCGCGTATGAACCCAACCCGCAGCTTGCAGGGCAGCTCCTGCACACTGCTGCTGTGTTGCGGCGCAAGCTGGGCGTGCACATTGAGGTTTTCAACGGCACTGCCTTCGCCGAGCTTGACGGCACCGCGATGTTCGGCCTCGACAGCACGACCGGGAACGCTGAGGGGTCGTCCCTCATGCTCCACAAGCGCACCAAGACTCGCGAGGGGTTGGGGCGCGGGCCAGCGGTGGGCGAACACAGAGTGCGCGTGCGGACGGTGAACGCACTCAGCGTGATCCGTCACGCGCCGCCTGGGCCGGTCGCGCTCAAAATTGACGTTGAGGGGTATGAGGGACGGCTCATGCGCAACCTCCTCCTCTCGGGCGTGCTGTGTCAGCGCGTGCAGAATTTGTTCGTGGAGTGGCATCTGATGGCAAGCCAGGTTGACAAGCGCGATCTGCACCACCCGGATGAAGACATCGAGATGCCCCCCCAAACGATGGCAGTGTACAAGTGGATGCTGAGCACCTTCAATCCAAAGGCGAAAGCACTAGGGCGCAACTGGCAACCGCTTGCCGACAGCTCGTGTAATTTGACACTGTTGAATTGGAGTTGATCGGCACAGTGCCTCGGCGTGCAACATTCACATGGTGCCGTAACAAGATCATGCCAAGCTTAACACAGCATATGTGCGTGGTAGATTGTTTATCGTCCCAAAAGTGTTTTTTTGCTCTGTCTAGCGAAAACCGTTAGGACCCTCTAGCCTTCATGCTTCAAATCCTCCAATCCGCGCGCGCGAGGCCTCACACAACTTGGGCCAGGTACCAATTTTGTCGAATTTATTTCAAAATCTGCAGGCGCGGAGCGCCTGCGAAAATTTTGAAGAAATTTGCAGTCGGGCCTGATTTTCATCAAGATCTTTCAAATTTGCGGTGTGGAATTGGGGGGTGTGGGTGTTAGGTTAGGGTTATTAGGGTTAGAGGGTTAGTTAGGGTTAGGGTTACAGGGTTAGGGTTAGGGTCAGGGTTAGTCTGGTTGTGTCTGTATATGCCAGCGTTGCAGGGTTCTGCGCTGGGATCTGGCCGCACAGCGCCGACGACTAAGACTCAGCCCCACACGCTGACACCTACGGCTTTAGGGTTAGGGTTAGGGTTAGGGTTAGGGTTAGGGTTAGTCTTCTTGCTTGTGTTTGTATGCCAGCGTTGCAGAGTTCTGCGCTGGGATCTGGCCCCAGCGCCGACGAGTAAGACTCAGCACCGCACGCTGACCCCACCAAATGCCGCCTCAGGGTGCCAGGCCGCCAGCCACTTCTTACACGCGGCCGGCGCCCTAGAGGATCTCGCGGACCCCCTTCCCGACCCGCCGAACGACTCGAACAGCAGCAGCCGCAAGAAAGAAAACAGACAACCCAACCAAACGAGGGATAGGGCATAGGGGAGGAGGACATCCACCTCGAGAACCTCGGCACGCACTTGGAGTACTTACGGGCTAGAGAGCCCTAGGCCCTAGCCCCGGGGGTGCGCGTTCGCAGGGAAGGCGTAATATTTTCTTCGATCTTTTTGGAGCTTAGCCTTCGATGTTATGAAACAAACGCAAGGCGGACATGGCATATCGCTCTCGGGCCCACAGACATCCCGCACACCCGCCGCCCCCCGCGCGCGCCCACCCCGGCCGGGAGAAAGGGGAGTGACAGTTTGGGACGGCAACAGAACTTGGAGCACTTGGAGTGCAGTCATTAACCGCACATCCAGGGCCGGGGAGCTAAGAAGCGCACCCAGCGGGCCGGATGATTGGCATCGGGTTACGCTAGAGAGCCCTGGCAGCGGGGCCACGAGCACTTGGAGCACTTGGAGTGCGGTCAGTAACCTCACGCCCAGGACCGGGGAGCTGAGAAGCGCACCCAGTTGGCCGGACGCTCGGTATCGGGCTACGGGCTAGAGAGCCCTGACCCCTAAGAGCTAAGCAAGGGGGGGGGTGCGCGGTCGCAGCGCCCCGGTCGAGTATCTTTTTTTGGGGAGGGTACCCATTCGGTGCTGGTAGCGACCTGACGCTGCTTGAGCTGCCAGCGTCAGGTCGCGCTCGTCACGGTCGGGCGTGCGAGGCTCCTGTGCCTCCGGTGCAGCCGATGCTCAGCCCCTCTCCCACCGTCGCGGCTCGCCCGTCACCTCGCCTCTCCGCAGGGTTCAATCTCTCGCGCCGGCTGCATCTCTCCGCCGGTCGCCAGCACCCGCGCCACCGACTAGCTGCACCGCCACTCGCGACGCGCCACCCTCGCTCACCAGCCTGCATACGCGCTACTCCCGCCGTGCCTTTGCTACCACATGGATCGCATGTCACTGCAAACGCGCCCGCAGCCGCGCCGTAAAGGTCTGCCGTGCTGGCTGACGATCTCACTCTCCCGCTCCTATTGCATCTGCCTCCCGCCTCCCAGCTCACATTTCACACTGCAGTAGGTGCTCCTGTCGACGCTGCCGCCGCTGCCACCGCTACTGTCACCGCTCGTTTGATAATCGACGCCACGCTTAGCGGCAGCGAGATCCGAGGTTCAGTCAACTTGCCTGGTGCGCTCTTGCGCGCGTGCCTTCAAGATCCACAAGTCAATTTGTACCAAAAATCCAAAGGTGGTGCAAAATGGATATCTCAAGATTGGCCTTAACTTCGCGCACCTGCTCTCCGCCGCCGCCGCTTACCTGCTGGCACGCCACCGCCCCGCGTCGCTAACTCAGGCCTCCCTGCTGCATCTTCGCACCCCTGCCACATGACTCGATCGCCGTCGCTGCTACCGTCCTCTCCGCCGCCCTCGAAGGCGCCACCAGCATTACGGCCGCCTTCATATCTCATTGATGCTGCCACCAACGCCACTTCCTCGATTCTGTGCCGCTGCAGCGGCGAGGCGCCGTCGCCACGATCGCCGCCAGCGCTGCTGACAGCCTCGGAGCGCCGCCGTGGCCGCGTTCTGGTCTGCCCACGCTTCCCTAAAACGTCTAGGACTAGCTCAGAGGCTAAGGGCGCATCCTGTGGGACCATCTAGCTCTACTGGGTCCGCGACGGCGGTCGGCGCACCCCCGTCTCGAACGTGTGTGCTCTCTGTCTGTCTGTCAGCTGTTTCGGCTAAGTGTCGTTTTGTACCGGATTTCAAGGTTAGTGGCAAAACCGCGGAACCAAAAATGGCGTTTAATTTCGCGCACCTGCTGTCCGCCGCCTGCGGCGGCGCTCCGCGCCGCTTGGGGCGCCTGCGGCGCCCCTGGGCGCGCTGCGCGCGCCTGTTTTTGGGGGGCTACCAGCACCGAAAAATTCGCGTTTTTTTCATCTGTAACAGATCCTGAACTTCGGCACCTCGGCACGTCGCCAACTCCCTGTGTCATTACAATGCTTGCCCTCGCCTCCTCCGCCCCCCTTTCGCTCGTCGTCCAGCGCGCGATGCCCGCCACGACCCGCCTCGCCACGCCGCGCATGGCCGAGTTTGTCGAGACAGACGCCGCGGTCCTCGACCGCTACATGAACCTGCCGCACCCGGGCCAGGTTCAGGCGGAGTATCTGTGGATCGACGCAAAGGCGCGGCGCGCGCCTCGTGCGGAGAGCCGGCCCGCCCCCTCCCGCCGACGCCCGCTCTCACGCCGCCCTCGCCTCCACCGGCAGGGCGAGGTTCGCTCCAAGTGCCGCACCATTGACGCCAAGAAGGCGCGCGCACACTCGACCGGCTCTCCACCCGTGCCCCTTCCGCCGCGCTCCACTCGTGCCGCCTCCCACTCCCTCTGCCGTGGCTAGCCGACCACTCTCCCTCGACACGCTCCCCTCGCGACCGCTGCCCTTTCCCTCTTCCTTGGGGCGACTGCAGCCTCGCCGCCTGCTCCCACCACCTCACAGCCTCCGCGCCCCCGCTCCCGCAAAGGCGTCGCTCGATCAGCTGCCGTCGTGGAACTACGACGGCTCGTCGTGCGACCAGGCGCAGCGGCCGCCTCCTCGCACCCGCCCTCCCCGCAAACCCCGCCCTCTGTCGCCGCCGCCCTCGCCACGCGCCCGCGCCGCCCTCGCCGCCCCTGCTTAGCCGCCCCTGCTTAGCCGACGCTAGCCGCCCGCCCCTCCCAGCCCGCCACGATCCCCTCCCTCCCTCCCCCACCCGCCCCTCCCTCTCCCCCCCCCCCTCCCTCCCTCGCCCTCCCCTCTCCCTCTCTCCCTCCCTCACCCGCCCCTCCCCGCCCCTCCCCCTGCCTCACCCGCCCCGCCCCTCCCTCTCCCTAACCCGCCCCCACCCGCCCGTCCCCGCCCCTCCCCGCCCCTCACCCGCCCTCGCCCGCCCCTCCCCCAGGCACCTGGCGAGGACTCGGAGGTGATCATCAAGCCGCGCGCCGTCTACAAGGACCCCTTCCCCTTCTGCCCGCCACACCCTCGCACACACCTCGCACACACCTCGCACACACCTCGCACACACCTCGCACACACCTCGCACACACCTCGCCCGCGCCCTCAGGACCCCTTCCGCCCCGGCGACAACATCCTCGTCCTCACCGACACCTACACGCCCGCCGGCGAGCCTCTCCCCACCAACACCCGCACCGCCGCCACGGAGCGCTTCGCCGGCCGCGAGGACGAGGTGCCGCTGCACATAGAGAT